CTAGTCTGCATTTTATTTTAGGATAACCTGTCTGGTAGAAAATGTACTGAAAATGCTCCTTTGTGTATTGTGGACAACTCTGCTTACTGCAGACTGTGGAATTTGAATCAGCACACCTCTAGGCAACAACTGGAAATCAATACAGGTTCTTCAAACTGAGTTTTAAACTTCAGTACAGGAACTTCGGAAGCTTGCATTTAAAGAAGAACTCTCACTTATTTTTTAAATGTCTCCTGTCTCCCAGGGGACAATGTACATTTAGTAATTTATCCCATCCTTCTACATGCTGTCTAAGGCTAGCTGCATGGTCATACAAAGCCCCCATAGCTTCCTGACCATGTAGCTAGCACAGAGAGAAATGAAATGTGCTTCGATGATGGGGCTTTTCTCCAGCTCCAAGCACTTGCCCAAGGCAAGCTCATTCACTAGAAATGTAGAGGGAGGGAGGCATGTCAGCTAAGTTATTCTTAGCTCGTACCCGGTATCCCAGAGGACAGTACAGGATAGCTCATGGTCCTGTGCCTCTTCTGCTCAGCGTCTCTGCTCTGTACACCAGGTGAAAGACTGAGTCAAAACCTACCGACCAGCCAGCAACTTTACTGGGGAGCGAGAATGGAGTAGTAGCTGACATGTTTTGTTGTGAGCTTATCTTTTTGTGAATAACAGCACTCATCTACAGCATGCTCTGATTCATAACAACACAAGATGACAGCTACTACTCTAATCTCTTTCCCCTGAACAGCTAACAATTGGCAGGCTGGTCTGTTCTCAGTCTTTTCCCCTGGAGTACAAGGCAGAGGGGTAGAGCCAAAGAGGCACAGGGTTGGAATTGTAGATGGCAGAGCTGCATAATGAAGAGGGACCAATGGCTTTAGTGCTGGCTATAGATTCCCTATAAGAATGCTTACAAATTGGGCCTCAGCCTGGGGTGGTGCTACAGCACAAAGAAAACTGACCTTTTATTTCTAAGCCATTGCATGGATCTAAAAAAGACCTAGTGCTACGTGCACTGGGTCCCCTAGGGAGGGCCGAGAAGGATTTTTCAACACTCGGTGATAATGTTTTCTTAAGCAGACAAGTTCCAGTTGCAATTTTTCTCTAAGTTCACGAGTGAATTATTTCCTGATAGTCATTCTCCTTGAAATTTTGATTTAGATCAGAGAATTTCCCTTTTTTGGAAAAATTATTATTTACATATAACTAACTGTAACCAGCAGAAGGCAATTATTCTGTTAAATGAATTTTTACACTGTCCCTTTAAGGTTTTCATCATCCAGGCATAACCACTCAAAATTTAGTGATATACTGGTAGGTCACTAGTCAGCAAGTAGATAAGAATAGGAGGCAATGAAGAAATAGAAAGGGAGGAATTAACCATTGCTAGATTATGTGCATACATTGTTCCTTATGGAATTCTAGGAAAGGAAATTATGGGCAACAAGAAACACCCCCTCCCCCCCCACCCCACACACATAATGCGTACAAACAGGAATTGGAATATCTTCGTCACTAGAGACAACGAAAGACACTACAGTAAAGGCAGGAAAAATCTGACTACAAAATACCAATAGGAAGTGACAATGCATTTAAAAGTAAAAGGAATAATGTGGTACTGTGAGGTTAAACACTTCAATGGTACACATATAATATTATATTATGAACTGTTGCCCATATCGTCTAGGAATATGACTGCTGTTGTTGTGCAAAATGTAATTGAATCTCTCTAATGGGATTTCCTAAGATCCTTGAATATAAATTGAATAACATGGTAATTACACGAAGGAAGTGGGCATAGATATACTGGAGACCTCTTTGAGAGGAAGCCAGCTCACATTTGGCACGGCAGACTTGCTGAAAGGGAGAGACACTCGCAGGAATTTGCTGGAAGGGATGATGTCTCTTTTTGAGTTAAAGGATTTTGGCAGCTGCGTAATAAGGGACTATTCAAAGAATCGCTAGGATGGTAAACCCCTGTACATTCCAAATGCACGGAAATGTAAATGAACCAATCTGAGTATTGTCACACTTTAGGCTTCTATAATGACACCTTTATTAAATCCTATTTAAAAAGCCACAACATCTAAAAGTTCATATTCATAATGGCATATACACTGTTATATATAGAAATATCTGGTTTGGGGTCAGTTTTCTAGATTGCACTTATATGCATAGATGTATATGTAACTATGATACTGCTACAGACTGGGAACAGTCTGAAAGACCTATATTAGATTATTGCATTAAAAGCCCTATGCAGTTTTCGAAAATCAATTATTTAAAACAAGTGCATAATTGGATATGTTGAAAGGGACACATGCCCATCAAAAACAATCTGTAACAATGTCTACCATTTTCACTGTTACAACCTCTTGTCATCTATGGAGAGTCTTTTGTGACACTCATATCTAAGCATCCAGAAAAAAGGACTTGCAATACGTGCTTGGGGAATTTGTGAATTTAAACAGCCAAACTGAAAAACTAGATTAACACCCCTCATTTACCCTTACTTCTCTCTATCTAAAAGCGTTTCCTAAATGTCCCTTTAACCACTTTAAGACCAGCCACTGCATTAAAACGTTTGCAGGGTGGCACGGCTGCGCAAAAGCACGTTTTAAAACGTGCTATTGCAAAACAGGTTGGGGGCGCGCACGAGGCGCGTCACCGCCCTACCTGTGTCACCAATTGCAGCCGCGGATGTCAGTCGCCGGGTCACGGTCAGTCATTACCGGCCGTTTACCGGCGATTAGCGGCAAACACTGACAGAGAGCAGGGCTGCATTGTTTACACACAGCTCTGCTCTTTGTCAGTTCCCTGTCAGCTCCTGACAAGCTGATCGGGACAGAAGAGTTTATCTGTCCCGATCAGCATGTCTCCCTGCAGTACACATCCCCGCCCCCCTAGTAAAACACTCCCCTCACACAGTTAACCCTGTCTTTGAATAAAAATGTTAACCCTTTCCTCCCCAGTGCCATTAGTACAGTGTCAGTATTTTTTTTTTTGCACTGATCACTGTATTAGTGTCACTGGGGATGTCAGTGACTCCAAGTCAGTTCCCCCCCCAGTGTCAGAATGTCCGCCGCAGTCCCGCAGTCCTGCCATAAGTTGCTGATCACCACCATAAGTCGCTGATCGCCGCCATTATTAGTATAAATAAAAATTAAAAATCCCAGTATCTTTCCCGCCATTTGTAAACGCTATAACATTCACGTAAACCAATTAATTTACACGTATTGTTTTTTTTTTTTTAGCAAAGACATGTCGCAGAATGCATTTTGGCCAAAATTAATGACAAAATGTTATTTTTACATTTTTTTACTGGACATGTTTTATAGCAAAAAGTCCAAAATATTGTTTTTTTTCCTCAAAATTGTCAGCCTTTTTTTTTTTATAGCGCAAAAAATAAAAAAACACACAGGCGATCAAATACCACCGAAAGAAAGCTCAATTTGTGGGAAAAAAGGACGTAAATTTAATTTGGGTGCAGTGTTGCATGACCGCGCAATCGTCAGTTAAAGTAATGCAGCGCGATAACACAAACCTCTTCTGTAACCACTTCCTGCCCACCCTATAGCAGAAATACTGCTACAGGGCGGCATGGGTGCGCAAAATCACATATATATACATGATTTGCGCTCCCATGGTTTTCATGCCCCTCCCAGATAGCGTCAGATTGCCCGTCAGTACACCAGTCATCACATTTAACCCCTTGATTGCCAGTGCCAGGAGCACGCTCATGTACAATTAGCCTCCATTGCTAGTATAGTGTCTGAACGGGTCAATATCTTTGATCAGATCAGCACTATACCAGCGTTCACATTAGTATAGCGTCCCCAAAAACGCAGCATTAGCGGGATCAGCCCCGGCACCTGCTAGCACCTGTGTTTAGCCCCTACGCTTACCCCCCCTTCTTCCCCAGCAAGTGCAGTGTCAGTAGGTCACTGTCACTTGATACATTGCACAAAAAAACGCAGTGGTCGCAGAATCAGGCCTGATCTCTGTTAGTACTTGCCGGTAAATTTTGATGACTCTCATTTGCAGCAGAGTGCCAGTACTAGTGCCGCTCTACATTTTGGTGAACTGGCGAGTACCAGCGGTCTAGTACATCTTGGTCTTTCACAAACCTCCTTGATTTTTGGAGCTGTTTTTCACGGAATATCTGTATGCGTTGATTGTGGATCAAAGCAATTTATATGCACAACAAGTTATCGCCGCCAACCCAAATTCAAACCTTGCCAGACCATTCGCATGGAAACTCATTACGGTTTTCAAATTTACATTTTTTTTGGGCCCAACCCTCAACATGGGCATTACTAAAAGAAATGAATTGCGGTTGTATTGGTCCGCAGACCCCATTCATCATATGCCCGTGTTCTCTGCTGCCATGACCAGGCATAGATATGAGAGTATAATGTGTTTTATGCATTTCAATGACAATACACTCTGTCATCCTTGGGGTGACCCTGAATTTGACCAGCTCTACAAAATTCAGCCCCTCGCAAATCACCTTAACCAAAAATTTGCAGATGTCTATACTCCCCAGCAAAACATCTGCGTTGATGAGTCCCTCATTAATTTTTCTGTCCACCTTGCAGTCAAACAATTTTTCCCCAGCAAGCGTGCCAGATATGGGGTCAAGATGTAGAAGACCTGTGAGAGGACAACAGGCTATACTTATAAGTTTTGGATTTACGAGGGAAAAGATAGTCACATGGAGCCCCCCCGGATGCCCAGACTACATGGGGAGCAGTGACAAGATAGTTTGGGACTTGGTGTCATCCTTTTTCCATATGGGGTACCACTTATACGTGGACAATTTTTATTCAAGCGTGCCACTATTTAGACATTTGTTCAATCTTGGAACTGGCGCTTGTGGCAAAGTGTGACCTAATGTGTGCCCACCATAAGAAGTGGGTGGATGCAGGTGGTATATTCTAATGGTGGGCATACCACACACTTTTTCTGGCAGAGATTTCTTCTAATTTTTGTCATTCAGTCCACAGGCTGCATACAAAAAAAAAAGAACATAGTATATATACCCAACAAGACCAGCGGCGTACTGGTACATCACTGGACTTTGAATGGTCATACAAGGATGATGCCTACAGCTGCAGGCATGATCCTGGTATCGTTTTTTTTCAGCCGGCGATCGGCTTTCATGTAAGTGCAATCCTAGTGGCTAATTAGCTGCAGGATTGCTTTTACAAGCAGTGGGAGGTGATGCCCCCCTCCCCCGGTGGTGGGCTGATGATGTCACAACCTCAGCCAATCCGAGCAGGCTTTGTATTCATTAGTAGAATACATCGCTCGCCATGATTGGCCCAGCGTATACTGTATGTAGCCTCAGCTACTGTACATACACATATCCAGCGGTCTGATTACCACAGGGACGTACCGGTACGTTTTGAAACCGCTTGGCTCAGTATACTGTATATATCGCACATTCAGCAGGCTGACAGATTAATCTGTCATAGGGACATTTGTTTTGAGCCATCTTGGCTCAGCACGGTATACTGTATGTACATTACTGCACATCCAGCGGGCTGATATATACTGTATACTGTATGTAGCCAAAGCTACCGTATTACCGCACATCCAGCGGTAACCATCTGATTTGGAATTCGATCCATATGATGACTGTCTTACAAATGTATCACAAGATGTCATTCATGAACTTATGATGTCAGAGGATGAACATGAGGATTTTGAAGGATTTTAAGTACCGGTAAGTCATAACCATTTCAATTAAAAAATCTGATGTTTTTAAATGGTGTTGCCTCAGAAGGGGGGTAGTCTTATACGGCGAGTATAGTCCAAAACCTATGTTTTAACTGGAAAATTAGGGGGTCGTCTTATACACCCAGTTGCCTTATAACTATGTTATTAATTATGTTATGTTATTAAGTTATTAACTTATAACTAAAAAAAAAATCTCCCCTCCCATGCGCGCACACCTGTGTGCACAAGCCTTGACCCTGTGCCGGTATGTAAACAGCGGTTGCACCATGTATGTGAGGTATTGCCGTGAACGTCAGATCAAGGGCAGTAATTCTAACACTAGACCTCCTCTGTAAATCTAAAATGGTAGCTTTTAAAGGCTTTTAAAGTGTTGCCTATGGATATTAAAAATGTTTGAAGATTGTTGCCATTGCACGGGGCATGCACAGTTTTAAAGCATGTCATGTTTGGTATCTATTTACCCGGCATACCATTATCTTTTATATTTTATGAAATAATTGACCAATATATTGTGTTTTTGTGCATTAAAAGTAAAAAAAGTGTATTTTTAAAAAAAATTTGCTTTTGAAAAATTGCGTACTATGAGTCATAAAAAATTGTAGTACCCACCATTTTATTCACTAGGGTGTCTGCTTTAAAAAAATATATAATGTATGGGGGTACCACATGTGAGAGACATTTTGGCAGTCTAGCCAAGCACAGGACCCCAAAATCCAATAAGCAACTTCAGGCTTTTAAAGGGCTTTATTTCCTCATTAGACTTCCTGACTACCTATCACAGTTTTGGAGGCCCTGAAATGCCAGGATAGCACCTAACCCCCCCAAATGACCTCTTTTTGGAAAGTAGACACCCCAAGGAATTTGATAAAAAGCACGGTAAGTATTTTGCAGATCTCATTTGTTGCTACAAGTTTTTGGAAAATGAAGAAAAAAAACAAAAACATATTTTTTCTATTCTTTTTTTATATTTCAAAACCTTGTGAGAAAAAATGAGATCTGTAAAATACTACTCACTATTCCCTCTTTTTAAATTCCTTGGGGTGTCTACTTTCCAGAAAGGGGTTATTTGGGGGGGGGGTTGGTGCTATCCTGGCATGTTTGGGCCTTTGAAACTGTGAAACGTTACTAGTGCAGCGACACATGATTTTTGCACATTGTGCTGCAGCAGATTGGTTTAATATCATCTGGTCATTACAATTTATAGGTAGAGATGCACAAAATCCACAACTCATCCTGAGTAAGCATCTTTCATACTTCTATTTTTTTGAAGTCACGGATATTCTGTCCTCTTTGGGGAAGGAATTACATAATAAAATAGCAGGCTCAGGGATGGAGTGGGATGGCGAAGGATGGAAGAGTAGCGTAGAGACCTACATGCTTGAGGCCAGACTATCCTGTGTTGAGGCTTTGCCATTTTGGTAAGGGCACACACAGAAATGGCTTTGCTTGACCCTGGCTGGTGGATGCTATTTTGTGGAGGACAAATAACCCATATTTCAATGTAAGAATCAGACACACAGAAGGCACTGTACCATTATAAAATATAACATTTTAGTTTTCAACTAATGTCTTCTCACTTCTCCCTTGTGCTCTTTTCCATCTCCCTTCAGTTTTGCATGTAATATATGTGAGAATTCCGTGGACTGGAGACCCAACTGAGCCGAGCAACAGTAATTAGGGTTCGGGGAAGTACCCTGGATAGGATGTCTGTTAGATTAACACACAGGCAACAGTTGTATCATCAGGTAGAAAGTGATCATATGATATGATACACAGGCACATACAAATGTTCAGTCGGCCCTGTATATAGATTATTAGAGTAGGCATAGTATGATAATGATATGATAAATATATAGTTATTATGCGTCAATCACTGGGTGAGGAGAAAGGTCAGAGGGTGAATCTGTTGACTTTCTGTTGGCTAAATTTCTTAAGCCAAGGGCAAAGTAAAAGGGCCATTTAAGCAGGCCATAGACAAGCCGAAAACCCATACAAAAATTCTTGGTTGTTCGTTTTTCACATTAATTTGCCAGCTGTGACACACAATTTTCATGTCGCAATCAAAAGTGCCTGATCCAACATGCTGGATTTTCTTTTGAAAATCTAAGCAAATGATGGCACAATTGTATGCACTATTTTCATTTTTCGATCGACATAACGTTCGATTTTTGACTTGTCTATGGCCTCCCAGCAGCATATATTCATCTTTTGCACCCTGTGTGACAACACTGAGCCGGTCAAGAGGGACTTAGCACTGTGACATCGGAGAGCTGGTCATGAGGGACCCAGCACTGTCACAGCAGCCATACATCTGTTTGGACAAAGGAAAAGGTCACTTTAATTATTGCTGTGACAGATGGGCAGAACTGGGCATTCAGAAGGAAGTTTTTCCACCTGGAGTACTGCAAAGGTATAGGAAGCCCACATACATTTTACCTTGCCTGAAAATACACAAAATTAAAGCATCAGCTTTCATTGGAGCTTCCCAAAAAAATTAGAAATAGCTGTGCTTAAAAAGGAAGGAGTAAAGCAGAGTTCATAATAAAGATTTGTTGTGTTGAGTTACCAGTAAGTAATTAAATTTGTGTAATTCAAATATTTTGCTAAATATGAGACCAGAGAGAATAGTTCAGATTCTCAGGAGCAGAAAGGGTTAATGAGAACTAGCATGTCCCTGTCATGCAACAACAAACCCATCTCATGTAAAACAGAACCAGGCAGAAGAAATGATCAATGGCCGAGCAAATATTTGAAGAGGAAATGAGCAAAGGAGGAGGGAAGCTGCAAGCTTCTTTTGAACATCTCAGGCAGCCAAAGTCTAGTCTGCAAGCTTTGTAGGCATCTGGATGGCATCTAGATGGCACAGTAACTACAGATCCTTAGATATAGATATTTTAACAAAGGCGTGAAATGGAAGTATGAATAAATCAATAAAAACACACAAGGTTCAGAAGCTTGCATTATTTTGACTTGAAAATATTGGTTAGTGAAAAAAAATGTACAGATGTAAGGGAGAAAGGTGACAAAAACAGATCTGACTCTGTAATGCAATTTTGTCTTATTTGCATTAGATAAAGTAAATTTACTTAATTATGCTAAAAACAATAGACCACCCAAAGCAGAGTAAAGAATGTGAGGGAACTTTCAGATGTTCCATATAACCTCTATGTTCAGGAATTCAATTTAAAATCAAGCAATTTCTTACTATGAACAAATACTTTTAAACAAACTGAACAGGACATGCTAAACTCTCTACACAAGACAATAGTATCCAGGAGATGCTCTGAATTAATTACTAATTTATATAACATAGTGAGGGAAAAAAAAACATTTATGACTGGTTTACACCAGATGCTGTGAAACTGCACATTCCAGCACAGTCCCACCGCATGGACAAGGCAAAATGCCTGGTCACTTATGTACTAATACCTTAACACCAGCACAACAGTCCAATCAAATATTAATATTACAAAGTGCTAAAAAACAATAAAAAGATATTAAATATTGTTAAAAATACAAAATTAGCAGCGGTCAACCAGCATCCCAAATATACGAACAAAATAATACTAAATAGGGATATATGACTGCCCTCCTTTAACCTTTAAACAGTGACCATAAAAGTGCAATCATATCCATGTGTAACATAAAGGGCATAATACTGTAAATAGTCCAATCATGTGATCTTGTGAAGTGACAACAAAAATGGTAAGTGATCCTCCTCCACACACACAATGCACACACTGCACTAACCAGAAGTTGTTGACCTCTTTGTTACAAGAAGTCAAAAAGTGCTTAACACAATGGGTAACCTCTCCTCCTAGAATGGTATATGGTCATCAAGCCCTAATTACACCAAGTCAGACTTAAATGAAGACATACATAGAGGGGCTTCTGGTAGATATCACTTCTGCTTGGTGGAATGCATATTTGCACTCACAGTTAATACTGCTTGCTTTTATCTCCTTTGTATATGTAAGTGTATTTTTACCTTCTTGGCCACTATAGTAAACAATACTATACTATGAGGGGCTCCCCAGTCTCTTTATTCACGTTATTGCAGTACCATTGAAGTTCTTAAATGCATGGAAGCACTTTAAAGGCATAGAGGCACTATATCTATACAAGGACCCAGGAGAATATTTGTAAAGGGCTTGATGGCCATATACCACTCAAGGAGGAGAGGTTACCTATTGTGTTAGGCGCATTTTGACTTCAAAGAGGTCAAGTTCTTGTGAGTGTGGTGTGGGTGCGGAGGAGTAGCACATACCATTTTTGTTGCCACTTCACAACATCACATGGTTAGACTATTTACAGTATTACACAATGTCTTGTATATACCCGGTTCACACCTCTGCATTGCATACTTTTTATCAGCCCGGTGAGAGGCAATCCACTGCCTCGCACCGCACAGCTTGCAATTGAACCTTATGAAATGTCTTTGTGGCAAACAGTCTGATCAGCTTAGCTCAATGCATCATTGGTGTGCTGGCCTCAGCAGGAGAGCACTTCATACCAGCCCTTAGAGCATGGGTGTCAAACCGGTGGCCCTCCAGCTGTTGCCAAACTACAAGTCCCATGAGGCATTGCAAGATTGACAGTTACAAGCGTGACTCCCAAAGGCTGAGGCATGAGGCAGCTTGAGGGCCACCAGTTTGACACCCCTGCCTTAGAAGGTTCATTTACTCAGGTTAGACTGCTCACACCAGAAAGGGCTGCCCTCTAGTGGGTACCTAGCAAGTCATCAAAAACATACACCTACAAAAGAGTCCAAATTGATTTATCAGTTTACACTTAAAAGACATCCAATGCATTTTTAGGGGCTAGAAACACTTCCTCTTTATCAAGGCTTCAGTGAAGGTCAGGAACTTGAATGGACTCAAAATAGGACTTTCCTGTGTTCATCTATGAAAGGACGTTTATTGCTGGACTACAAGTGTTAACAGCCAGCAGCATCTGTGTGAATGGCAGTAACCATAACACTCAACATTCCTTTCTTCTCCCCTCCTCTCATGTGAAATGCTAGTGCTTGGTGATTGTCCCAAAGCTGTCACAAGGGGAAAGAATACTCAGGTTTGGTCTATGTAAGCTCAAACTAGAGTGACCCAGAGCTTACACAGGTCAACCTTTCTTTGTTCCTACTGACTGAACAGCATGCTGAAGTAAGGAAGAAAAGGTGAGTCTGTTTTGCTGGAGGGGGAAGTAAACAAGTTCTTGATTAACTTGTTATATGTCAAGTGAATGTTTATTGGACATTAATTCCACTTCTGCATCTGTAACAAAAAATAGCTACAAATTAAACTAATAAAACTGATATAAGCTACATGTTCATAAGAAAAATGAATCCTTGTCTTAATCCACCCTAAACAGGCTCAGATGTTCCTTAGTCACATTTTAAACCATACCTGCCTCACTATTGGATTACTCAGTGTACTGAATGATTGCAACTTTAAAAATCCCATTTAAAGTGTTACAAAACCCACAACAGTACAATCAATCTGTATATGCAGTAAAGCATGCTTGTTACACTCACTGTGGAACCTAAGGGGTTAATCCTCTGCATTATGTAAAAAAACACTATTTAATTCTGACTTCTCTGATCCTCCCCTTCTTCCAGTGCCCCCCACTTATCTCCTGATAATACATATGTGTGCACATGCTCAGTTTGGTGTGTATTGATAGATAGTTTTTTTTTCTTGGGAGAGTGCATATGATCAGCACAGGGCCAGTCAGCACTGGCCAGACATGGGGTCAGGGGTTCTGCATCCTCCTAGTGCAAAATGAAAACTCTTCCTACAAGCTTTAACCAGTGCTGAACACTGATAAAAGTCACACGACTGCTCCAACTGCTGATAAGAGAAGGTTTTTAGCACTTTATATTTACTAAAATAATTGCACTTTCATGTTCTGTGTACTGTGGGAGACCAGATGTAGTGAATGCAAGGTACTGGGTTTAGTAAAACATTAAAGCATGTGTGTTAATGTACTTTATGTTGCACATTACACTGCACTGTATTAGGGCAGTCCATTGAAAATAATGCCAATGCACCCTAACTTGCTAAAAAGCACATGAACCTTTTTTGTAATGCACCACAATGCTGGTGTGTTGGGGTGTCATTCAAAATGAATGACACCACATCACAGCAGGGGCAGACTGACCATTTGGAAACTTTGGAAACTCGGGCCCCATGAGATGCCCCTGGTACCTTTTTCATAGGCTTTTTTGAGTTTGGGCACGGACACAGGGGCCCCATGATCCCCTATTGCCCGGTGGCCCCATGAGTTGTCAGTCCGCCCCTGCATCACAGTAACATGCATAATGTTATGTGTGTTAGTGTATGTTAACGTGATGTAGAAGTCTAAATGGGCCCTTACACAGTTATTCACTAATAATGCTTACCAGAAACAAGCCCTACCACCACATAATGGTGACAACATTTTTACTGTCTGTGTGATATCCATTCAACTTCTCCCTTTCATTTTTTAAGTAAATATTTATTAAGGAATAGAGAAGCTGATGCACAGACAATGTTGATATTTCTTTAGCATACTTTTGTAACACTTAGCATGTGCCAAAGAAGAAGGGTGTATCATTTTCACTGTTTATAATTTATTTTGTAATTCCCCCAGGGGTAAAAACACTTCTGATTCTGCAAACATGACATATTTAGCCAACGATGGAACTTGCGTCTAGAATTTCGAGTTTTAGATACATTTATGTATTCTTACTCACAATCATAAAATTATGTCCTGTATACTAGATTTTGATAAAAGAAAGTAGCACTTCATTAGGGACTTCAAAGTCTGTCCAAAATCTGAATTTTAGCTGGTAAAGCTTGCTGTTGACCGCTGCTCAGTTAGTCAAGGCTCCAGCCTTAGGCAGCGCACAGTGTGCTTGTTTTATTTAAGCAAAAAGATAAGCAGAGCAGACCACATAGCAGGCCTTGATCAACTTACAACGATAATCAAGTAACGTTCTCAAAAATATCTTCAAGCGAAGGTCCAAAAGAAAAAACCCATTACAAAGACTCTACAGGACTCTATGATATTACATCTGAAGATCTTACAGAGTTCCCAGAATGTATTATAGCTCAGATTACGTCAGTCAAATAACATAATCGGAATATTTTATTCATTTGCTTTTGTTATAGGCTAGGTTCACACCTTTGTGGTGTGTTTTGCATTTCTAATGCGTTTTTGGGTTTTTTTGCCAAAAGGAAAGTATTGACTTTGATACAACTTTGATGCGACTTTGAATGGGTGCGATTTTGATGTGACGTTGGAGCAACATTGGATTGGTGTGACTTTGATGAAACTTTGGATGGTTGCGACTTGGATGCCACTTTGATACTGCCTGAATGCCAGAGAGTGTAACGTTGCATCAAAGTCGCACTACATGAGCAAAACTTTCATACTTTCCTATAAGCAAAAAATTTGCTACAAAGTCGCACCCATCCAAAGTCACATCAAAGCGCATCAAAGTGTCATCAAAGTCAATACTTTCCTATTGGCAAAAAACAAAACAAAACATAAAAAACGCACTACATGCATTTCTGCCACATGTCCATTGAAGTCTATTGAACTAAAAATGCACTGTGCTGCATTTATAAAAAGTCCCTGACCCTTTCCAAAAATGTAGTGGCTGAAAAACGCATAGATGTGTTCCATAGGAAACCATGTGAAATGGACTTGAATGCGCTTCTGCACTAAACATATGCAGAGGTGTGAACCAGCCCTAAGACTGGACTGTTATAATCTGCAACTGATTCATTACTATATATAACAAATAAAGTTGTTGTAAATCTCTGAAATGAAAAATGAATAGAGCATATTCTTCTATAGTGTGTTGCGACCTAAAGCACCCAGTGTGATTTCAGTCTACTCTGTCATTCCTCAGCTATCTGCATGAATCACTTTTGACAGTCTATACAGACATCAAGCATTCTTGGGAGGTAGCCCTGCTCCCCTATAGCACACAGCAGGTGATTGACAGCATCGGCTGTGCATGTTTCCCTATGAGACTGTGTAGAGGGGGTATGATCTTCCCCTCCACTCGGGTCTCAGATTACACTCAGCTGTCCTGCCTGTTCAGTGCAGTGTATGGCATCTGATCACTGATTCCTGCCTTCTGGAGATGAGAAATGCTGTGTACATTCTGTACTTTGAACAGCTGTAGAAGAGAGAGCTGTAGAGAAACAGACAGAAACTTATGTAGGAGGATTTGTTTTATCTTTGTATCACCTAAAGCTAGTCACTTCAGCTAGTTCATGTAAGGGGTTAAAAACCACTTTAACCCCTTCAGGCCTAAGGGTAAAACAAATCTAAATGCCTAATCACAATTTTGCAACATTGACATGTGGTAGTAACACCGTACATATCATCACAACTACTTTGTACATCCAGATGAATTATACCTTGATTTTTTCAGGACAAATTGGGCTTTCATTTGGTGGTAACTGATAATGGATATCTCCTGATTTTTTTTATTATCAAGGTAAAACTGGCCCAAAATATTAAAAAAAAAATATTTTTTTTTTATTTAGCTGTGTGTTTCTTGTTACTACCATAACCTACCACCAAAGAACAACACAAAATAAATTCTCCAGCTCTTAACGATTGCAACGATACCATATATGTGTATGTTATTTGTACCCTGACCTTGTGACCTTGACCTTTGACCCTGACCTAGAACTAAACACTAACCCTGGCAGTGAACTATAGCAAACTTGATCTAGGTATTTTTTCTGTATTTTTTATTTTATTTTTTTAATATTTATTTATCTTTTTTTTTACCAACCATTTTTCCCCCCTCTATGCCAGGAGTTAGAGAGATATATCTCTCTCCTCCATTCAGAGAGAGAGGTAAAAACAAGGGGCTGAGCTGTAGAGTGACTGATTTCTGTGATAGCCAATCAGAGGCTATCACAGTGATCATGTGACCCAGAATCAGGAGTCCTGGGTCCTGATCGTTAGAATGGGACCCAGTGCTCTCTGTGACACCGTTGCCTTTGTGCTGGGAGTGTGCTGTGTGGCGCGCTCCCAGCACAAAGACAGGTACGCAAATATGCGACCCCACAGAAAAAAAAAACAGTTCTGTGAGGCCGCATATTTGTGTTACGTCGGCGTCGAGGGGTTAAGGAATTGGAGAGTAAAACACCTACATTGAAAAGCCCTATAGGAAGCCAGAAAAAGGTACAGATAGGGGAAGCATGGCGATCCGGCTCAATAAAAACTCACAATTTATTAGATGATGAAAAGCTATATTAAAATACACTCAAATTCTTCTGGGTTAGGGGATCAAGTCGAACAAGAGTACAGAGACACAGCAGGCACTGGGGCCAGCACTACTGCTAGATCAGGGATGTCAAACTGGTGGCCCTCCAGCTCTTGCAAAACTACAAGTCCCATCATGCCTCTGCCTTTGGCAGTCATGCTTGTAACTGTCAATCTTGCAATGCCTCATGGGACTTGTAGTTTGGCAACAGCTGGAGGACCGCCAGTTTGACACCCGTGTGCTAGATGGTAACTAGAGTCTTCCTTCTCCAGACCACATGAAGAACATTGCACACACCCATGCCTGCAGTGTATTCCATGCCAGAGTTCTCATTCCACAGCCAGAGCCCAGCCCAATGTAAGTTTTTATTGTGTCAGATCGATGCGCTTTCCCTTTCTCTCCTTTTTTTCTGCTTTTTAATTTTCTTTTGTCTGCAAATACGTTTTGAGACCAGGATTATGAGGCTGAGTACATTTTTCAGTGTCTGAAGGAAGCAAACCTAGCTCACAGACCAAAAATAATATCTGGGACAGTGATTACAACCTCAATGATGCCGGATACAGTCATCCCCAGAACATTCTCACACAAGCATTTTCCTTTAGTGCCAGTTCACATCGGACCAGGGGCGGACTGACAACTCATGGGGCCCTTGGGCAATAGGGGATCATGGGGCCCCTGTGTCCTTGCCCAAACTCAAAAAAGCCTATAAAAAAGGTACCAGGGGCATCTCATGGGGCCCCCTACTGACCCCGGGCCCTCGGGCAGTGCCCGAGTTTCCAAATGGTCAGTCCGTCCCTGCACCGTACCATGGTATGGGAAACCCGTGTATTCCTGCTCCATGTTCCAAATGCACTAGGTGTGCAATCTGCTGCAGGTGTCAATAGATTCCTAACCACACCCCAAACGTAGATCGGAAACGCATTGCACCGGATTGCACCAGATCAAATTCTTTGCATATCTTACTTTTCATTTTGTTTCTCTTCTACTTTTTTACAAACTGGCTTCTACCCCCAGAACTGTACATTAACTAATCAATGTCTTCAATGTCCCGAATGTTTATAGTTATAGATAAAAATGTAAGGTTATGCATTTGGGGGCTAAGAATATGCACGCATCATACACACTAAGGGGGGGTACAACTGGGGGAATCAATGGTGGAGAAGGATCTGGGAGTTCTGGTAGATCATAAGCTTAACCCCTTGACTCCGACGTCAAACAAATGTGCGGCCTCACAGAGCGTGGCTTTATTTCCATGGTGCCGCGTATTTGCACACCTGTCTTTGTGCTGGTAGCACACTGCATAGCACACTCCCAGCACAAAGACCGGGGTGTCACTGAGAGCCCTGGGTCCCGTTCTAACTATCTTCTGGCTCCTCATGTAGGACTTTTGGTTTTTCACTTTAAAGCACTCATATATTTTATGCAATTTTGGGACACACGTTTCTTTTGTAATGATTGTGTTGTACACATGTTCATGATTTGAAAATGATGGTACTGTGGTTTTTATAACGCTGCACTATTGTTTACTAAACGTCAAGACTGTTCAGAGTAATAGGAGTAGGCTAGAAATAATAAAATATGGAAATTAATGTATGATGTTAGATTTTGACCATAGATACTTTTTCATTACATGTAAACTCTAACAATAAATTTATCTTATTTGCTCCCTTTTGGTCTGTTAGATATAATAAAACAATTTCAATGGTATATCTGTTTGACAAGTGCCAAAAAAATCCAAAAAAACACAATCATTGTTTATTCTGATAGAAAACCTTGTAAGCTATGTCCATGTGGACTACAAAACACCTCACTCTCTTATGGAGAAAAGAGAGAGGTGTTATGTAGTCCAAACACAATGTTATGCAGTCCTTACACACACACCGTGTCCTAGCGTGACAAGGCTGCTCAGTATGGTTGACAATCTAGGACAGGAAGTGAGTTACCAGGTTAGAGTGAAACAAAGTGTGAAAAAGAAGACTAATGCACTCACCACATCAAAAGAGTTGCGATATTATCAATTTTGTTCTTGAGTGAGTTTAGGTATACTTCAATTTAAAGAGCTTGACACCATGCCAATAATCCTTAACAACTCTGTTGCTTTTAGTACTTTAGAACACAGTTTGCTCTTGCAATATTACCTGAGCCTGTTCTCGATCCAGCGATGTGCACGAGAGCCAAGGCTGTCTCAGCCCTCTCGGTCCTAATTGGCTCAGATACAGCAGCTGCAGCCATTGGCCCCTGCTGCTGTCAATCAGAGCCAGTGATGAATCAGTGGGGGGCTTGGGCCCGAGCCCCATTCTGGGTGTCTTATGGACACCCAGAGCAGGGCTCAGGAGCGAGCACACACAAGTGCCCCCAGAGCAAGTGGCATGCTGTAGGGGCAGTTGGCTTTGGAGTGGAGCCAGCAACGCTGGCGGGGGACCAGAGAAGAGGAAGATCGGGGCTGCTCTGTGCAAAACTAGGTAAGTATGGCATGTTTGTTATTTTAATAAAAAAAAGAACAAACCCTTACAATTATTTTAAAGCAGATTAAAAAAAAAACACAAACATGTCATACTTACCTGCTCTGTGCAATGGATTTTCACAGATCCTCCTTAGGTCCCTGGCCGGCGCTCCTGGGTCCTCCCCCTTGCCAGGTGCCCCACAGCAAGCTGGTTGCTCACTCCTGACTGCAATTGCAATTGGGTCTGCGTTTGGGCTTCCTTGAACAGTGTCTTTTGGCACCAGCACCAGATTGCAAAAGCAGGGCATTTTGAACATGGTGCAGTAAACAAGCACAGAACACTCCTTTCCCATACCACACTCTGGTGTGGACTGGCCATTAAACTAAGGGAAAATCTTTTGAGTTGTCACCAAAAAAGGATAGAGGGGAAAGCTTTCAGTTGTGTCAGCTGTTCCAGTATCAATTGTCAAAGAGTTCATTACTATAAAGACATTTCCTCTTAATTTTGGTTCTGTCTATAGCACGAGAAGTAAAGGAAAAAAAAATCCCCAATTGATATTTTACCCATTTTCTTCTTTATCTGAAAGGAAAAAAATGTTTTGGCTTCAGATATGCAGTTTTTTAAAGTCTTTAATGTGTATTGAAGAGTACTTCGTGCTCAAGTAATCATATCATCGAACCGCACTAAGAATGACTATTTGCATCTGAGATACCCAGATCACCATTTTACTGTCTTAAGAGACCCAGTCTCTTAAGTCCTCTAATGCATTCCATTATGATTCTTTGTCCCCAAAATGCATTGGGACATATGATGCTTTTAATCTATAAGTGTTCCATTTTTTTGTACTGGATGCTCCTTGGTACACATCCAAGACTTGATCGAACTGTTAAGCAATTCTTTTATCGTGATCAATATACACTATACTTTCATTGTGGTTCTACTTCCTTGTAGGAAAATGCAATCCACTGTATATACATTAAACCAATTCGCTCTTCTATTGGTCTAGCACTATCACAAGTGCATCAGTATTTTAAGTGTAACTGTGTATTTACACAAAACGTGGCATCACTTTTCACCCAGAGCCCACATAGAAAAGTACTTGTTGGATGGCTTTCACCTTAATTTCTATATCCCAGGACTGCATCTGCACACTACAGTAGAGGCACCCAGCCTAACCAAGATATAAATACTGCCCAGCACAGTGGAAAGCAGGTCTGCACTGTCTCTGATGTCTGTTTTTTTATAAGTAGGAGGGGGGAAGCATTGCCATTTTTTTGTAAAAGTACAGCTACAGGTTAATGTACTATAGCTAGTTTGCCAATTAGTTTTTTTCCTATACCTTAGAGATATCATTATACACGGAACTTCAAATAACGTCAGATGTAATCAAATTCCACATAACAAGTTTCCTAATCCCTGCACTGGGCCATCCGAAAACAAAAAAAGAATGTCACATGTGTGCGAGTTATAAAACACAGTACTAATCCCTTGGATTTTAATTATAAACGTTAATAAAGAATGACATTTCAAGTATTTTCTTTAAATTTAAACACACCATTATTTCACACTACAAAAGAGAAAAAATATTGGAACTCTACAGTTCTAGCTAAAAATTCAGCTCGTATCACAGCTATGATTCTCTTTTTAAGAACCTGGTCCTGCATCAGTCATTCAGGTATCATACTGGGGAGCAGAGGGGAACTACACAGCCAGCCTGTATAAGCCTTCCACTTGTAGCTAGTAATTATTTCTCAACGCCTAATGGAACAGGTTCAAAGGGTTACATAGAATGGTGTATTAATCACAGAGGAAACACTAGCCAATGGCAAAACACACTTGCTTAATACAATGTTTATTGCACACAATGACAGTCTGCCTGGTTCTCAAAGTGTGTGGGGTGGCCACATCAGATATTAAGCATATCCAAAACTTAAGATCATTTAATTAGCCAAATGCTTAACGTCTTTCTTTATTTTACATAATTGTGTTAAAAACAGTAAATGGCTTCAACCATTTATATATTCCTATTAATGGTTTTCAAAGCTATCCACTATTATACTCACTGAAATCATGTACTTTGCTATCTGATTGTACTCTAGTTTGAAGACTACTTATGTCACTCCATTACAGTCTTCTCTAGATTTCTAGAAATGCTCATTCTGGTTAGCCACAACAAAGAGGCATACACTGTGGTATGAATGCAACTTCACAAAATAAATAAGATTCAGATGCATGGACCAGAACACAAATCGGAGAACAAACAACTGAAAAGGCACAATATTATAACATTTACAGGCCTTGTGTACTAAAGGTGCCTGAAATTGTAAAGTAGCAACTGAATATAATACAACCATGTCATGTTTAGGATATACACAGTATATTTCCACATTAATGTTATTGCTAAGTCTCATGTTATATTTCAAGGTACGCTGTAAAGTGAGAAAGACCATTTTGCATATAAAATGTTTTTTATCTGGGTAATACTGATACAATTTTCATGCTACTGGGCACATTAGGCAACTAGTTCTAGCTTGCTTTTTTCCTCTTTTTCTTTTCAGCAAATGCCTGAAAATGGGCCAAGGCAGAATATTAAGTTCTGATTTAAGCTATGCAGTTATAAACTTGCAGTCACTTATTGTGGTTATCTGTATTCAGATGGATGAGGCACCAATATCACCTATAGGTAATTACGGATGCAGTTGAGCAAAACGTAGGAAATAATTATTGGCTATGCTGGAAAGCCACATTGACATCCAGGGGATTTCTGGACTAATAACCCTGCCTCCTATAGTCAAAATAGCTCCAATTTAACCAGTTAACCTTTTAACATATTTTTGGGATGTGGAAC